AAAATGTGAGAAAGTGGTTTGCATAAAAGTGAGAAAGTGGTTATGACAAATTCTGCTTTGCATTAGATGGGATTGGTTTTCCCCTTCCTGATACATGCACTTACCACAGCGCACTTCATACTCTGAGTTTTCTTAAAGCAAGTTTCAGCAAGAAGCTGGAAAGGCCGCTCAGGAAGTAGGTCGAGCTGGCAGCGATCGGGCTGCTCCCCGGCATTTGGCAGCGGTCCACAGTGGGGGCAGCCGGGGTGCCTGCCTCCCGGGCGAGAACACTGGGGAGGCTGGAGGTGTCTTCGGGTGTAAGCGGCAGTTCAGAGGAGTCAGTACTCCCATGAAGACTCAGAAATGGAAGAAGTATATGGAACCCCAGAAGTAGTTCATCGGTCAGAAGGGATGGGGACAACACAGCTTCTGGGAGTAGGAACTGAATGTTGATTGTCAGTTGGGCTCTGGCACCTGGAGAAGACTCTCTTGGTTGAGGCTGTCTTCTCTCTGANATCCGTTCAAGTATTAGTCTCTGGAGTTGGAAGAGTGTGCAGTCCTCTTGTGGCAAGAGACCCCAAGAAGATCAGGAGGCTGGGCTGCTAGCTCTGGTCAACCTGGGGTGAGCCCTCCACTTCCTGTTGACCCTCATGCTTCTGGTGTGCCTGGCCTGCAGGTCACAGCCCCAGGTCTAATGCAGGAGCCAAGAGAGAGCGAGGGGTGACATGAAATGACAGGCATGGGCTTCCATATTTTTTGTCATTAGCCTTGTTCCTTGTGATCTGTCTGGGTGGCTGAAGACAGCTGGGGGTGGTGTGGTAAGAGATGGACTTTTCTGCAGAATTATGTGCACCCTGGGATAAGATGTGAGAGATGCTACTGTATGGCCGGGTGACGGGCCCGCAGTGGCTCATGAGTGCAGCTGAGGGCCGGTGGGGGGAAGAAGCAAATGAGGTGCAGCAGGTAGAGAAGCCAGCAGAGATGTGCTGTAAAATTAATTCACAGTAAAAATTCAGTTAGAGCACTTGGGAGTACCCTTCTGAGATGATGGGTCCCGATTGGACCTATTGCCTCAGGTGTCATGCCTGTGGTTATGTAATCACATGGCAAGAGGGACTTTGAAGATAGTTACTAATCAGATGGCTTAAAATAGCGATTATCCTGGATTATCCAGAGGGGTGATGTAATCGTGGGAAGCAGAAATCAGAGCTGAAGGATGAGGACTGGATCCACTCTTGCTCTCTTGAAGATGAAGGGGGCTATGGGAAAAACCGGAGAAGGAAATGAATTCTGGAAGCCGAATTTGCCCAGAGGCTCCAGAGGAGAAGCCCAGCGGAGCCCCACTGGGCCTGGACTGCTGACCACAGAATCGGGAGATAAATGAGTGTCATCAGAAGCCACGAAATTTGTGGGCTTTTGTTGTGGCAGCAAACAGAAAGCTAATACGGCCATTGTCTCCATGAAGATTATATCCTCCAAGCCAGTGCTGCTCAGACCTAGTGTGTATATGATTCCCAAGGGATCCTGTTTAACATGCACATGCTGATGCAGCAGCAATGTCAGGTGGGGCCTGAGATCTGCCATCCTAATAAGCTCCCGGTGCTGCTGCTCTGAGGACCACAGGTGAGCACAAAGCTCTTGTGTACCGTCAGGGTCAGTGCAGTGCCTGGAATTCAGGGCCCAGGCAAAGGAGGGAGGAAATGGGGGCTGAGAGAAGAAAGGCCTGGGCCAGATACTGTTCAGCTGTGAAATAACAGAGGTGGAGGAGGCCAGGGGCGCTGGGTTGTGGGCCCCTGGCCTGCAGCTAGACAAGGCCACCCTGCACAGCAGGCAGGGCCGGGCAGGAAGGGCATGTTTTCACGGGTGTTGCTCTCTCCTGTGGCCCTGTGGGAGGACAAAGGCCTGCAGCCATGGGTCTAGCTTCCTGAGGACCACATGGTACAGGCCTGGCCGTTAACAAGGTCCTGACCAGCTCCCCCATTTTCCCAACTGAATGAAAGGTAAGCTTCTGGAGGCCACCAGCTTGCAAGTGAAGAGGACTCACGTCATCAGTGAAGAAAACTATGCAAAGTTGCTATCAGTCCTTAGAAGGAATGGACTCACTTGTTTAAGAGAAAAAATGTTTATTAAGTAACCAGTGTGTGCCAGGCACTGTACTAGGACCTTGGGATTATACTGGGGATCAAAACAAGATCCCTGCCCCCAGGGAGGTTACAGCCTAGCAACTACAACCACAGTAAGGCCGAAACTACATCTGGGAGGCTGTCTGAGTGGTGATTGTCCTCTCTGCTCTTTCAGGAGGGTGATGGCTTCTGGAAGCCAAGTGCTGAGGCCAGAGCAGGTCTGTGTGCTTGTCCGCATGCTTTGCTCACCTTCAGTCCCCAAATGGGCTGGGTTGGCTCTCAGCCCGGTCTGTGGAGCCTCTTTCTGAGGAGACAAGTTGGAACTGATCATAAATTCCTTTAAGTCCGGAGCCACCCAGAGGGATGGCAGTCACAGGATCTTCAGGACACGTGCTCTTACTTTACAAATACTCTTAAGACAATAAAGGCTTGTAGAAGATTCCATCAGATCCTTAACAAATAACTCCCATGGACAAGAAGGTTAGCCTGTGTAGCAAGCAGAATTTTAAAATCCATGTAAGTTGGAAAAGAATACTGTGATGTTTATAGGTGTGTTCCAAGTATGAGAAACAAAGATATAGTGCACGGGTGCCTTGTAAACCTAACCATGGTACTTTGACTATCATCCAGACACCGCAGAGAAGTGGCTTTTTAAAGGAGGGCCTGTCCCGCAGTGCATCGGAGGCAGTTTGCTAATGGGGCACCTGGAGTGATGTGGTTCCATAACAGACCCCAGGCATCAGCCAGACTCGGGGAGCCCCAGACCTCTGGCTGCTTTACTAGCGGAACCCCAAGTAGCAGCTTCCTCCCGTGTTGAGAGACTGCAGATGCCAACAGCAGCCACTTGGCCCATGTTCTCTAGACAATCTGAATGGGTTTTGGGGATGTCTTTTCTATGACGATCCTCCTGATGAGGGGTGGCCTGGGGCGACGCAGAAGATGGCACAGCCTGTTCTCTGAACTGTCAGAGCACAGACACACCCAGTCCAGTCTTTCAGAGGACGGCCTGTTGCCCTTTTAACCTCTCCATGTGCTCTGTCGCCATATTTTGTGTGACTCATAATGACAGGCCTCCTAAATGAGCGGTCCTCCCCCAGGTAGCGCTCATGTCCACTCATACTGCCAGGCTCCCGCTGTCCCCCCTGCCTGTCAGGATGGGCTCTGCTGCCACTGTTCTGCCCCAGGGACAAGCGGCTCAGAGTTGGCCTGCTCTACTTGGAGACCTGTCCTGGTGGCGGCCCTCAGCTGGTCAGTGTTTGTCTTCAGTTCAGACTTGATCATTCATGCTGTTTTGTGACGCTGAACTATCACGTCTGCAAAGTGGATTTTCTCTGTTGTGATTGTCAGCCCCTCGAGCGCAGGAACCTGCGCTCTGGTGTTCTGTAGTCCCGTCCCCTCAGGCTGAGCCTCTGATAACATCCCACATCCCGCAGTCTGGGGAACTCGAGGCACCTGCACTTGTCATCAGTGGCACCGACTTCTGGCCAGATTAAATTTGCTCTAGTTCNTGGAACTTAGTGTCTGTTAATAGTAACTCTTGGACTTAGTTCATAATTTCCAATATGGTGCCATTCATATACTTAGGAAATTACAGCATATATGCCTTACCCTAAGCATCTCATCATTATTCAGATACACATTTCAATATTTCACAATTTCTAAATGTTATTTTCACAGAAGGTATAAAATACAAGTTTAAGTAAAAGCCTGCCAACGTTATGATTTAGGTACAAACCAAGTGAGCAGTTAAGAGTCTGTTACACCTGGGGACCTAGAGCATGTGACCTTGACTCTGAGCCTCAGTTCTCCTCTCTATAATGGATCCTGCCCTCTTAAGGGTTCTTAGGCCTAAATGAGGTAAATATCAGTTCAGTGTGGTATCTGGCTGGAAATACACACTGAGATAAGCTCAATAAACTGCAACCCAAAGAAACCCTTTTTTACATTTTGGTGAACATCTCTGTTTCTGTGAATTCAGCTCATATATTAAGAAAACTAGGTTATATACAAAAGCAGTTGATGCAGAAAAGCACTCATATCAAAGTGATTGTTTTTTCTCTGACACAAAATGCTATTTTAGACTTAAAACTTTTTTTTTGATTACGCAGTACAAATGTTAAGGTGGTGTTTGAATAGTGATTCAAAAATGGCTTCTCTAGTTTCTCTTAGCCTTGTTATCTCCTGCTCTTTTCACATGTCTTTGATCTGGGTCATTAGAAGATGCCCTTTTTGTGAGGTGTCATCACTCTGTGCTGTCTTCCCTGTGTCACTTGTCTTGTTTCTCTCCCCCATGTGTATATACTACTTCATGACAGTTAATGACATAAAAAGTAGGACTTCTCAGAAGAGTCTTAATTTTGCTGTAGTGTTTCATATATGCTTTCAAAATTAGAAATTAATTTATTCATGTCTAGAATTCAGGCATTTAGTAATGCTTTAATTAGTGCTCAGTAACCTTGCCACTGATTTTAACCATTGTTGTCTACTCGTGTTAAAATTACAGTCATTAAAATTAGGTCTATTCAGAATGTGTTCGTGAGAATTTTCATAAGTTGCTTATTAAGAATACTAGAGATAACTAATAAATAGCATGAATGCATTTGGTAGTTGGAAGGCAAATAAGATTTTACAGACAGTGTACGAGTAGATCTGCTGGGACTCTCTCGGGGAAACGGGGTACACCAGGAAGTGTAAGAGCAGTCAGGATAGTTTGCGTCAAAGGGATTAAATCAAGATGAGCAATTCTCTTCTCAAAAATACACTTGTAATTAATGCATTTGGAGCAGCATTGTACTTTCCCAATACTATTCATAATCGATACTGCTTTAATATAAATGTTTTTAAAATTGCTTTTTGTGACCTAAAAAGGGTTTTGTTTTGTTTTTCTTTCAACTTTAGGGTGATGACAATGTAACTCTAACAGTTTATCCTCCTGGTGGAATTGTAGACTTAAAATATTTTCCATATTATGGGAAAAAACTGCATGTAAGTATTTAGAAGTTCTTAAGTGGTTGTGACTCTTGGGAAATTGGCACATCTGTATTAAAATGTCCCTTGTCTGGTGTAGGTACACAGATGTCTTGTATAACTTGTGCATCATCTATTCTGGTTTTTAAATACCAATGTTGATGGCAAATCAAGATTCCACAATCTACAATTCAAAACACAAAACCCAAGCAGAAAATAGCATTTTCTCTTTCATTATTTGGGATGCGGGTATTTAAAGAATGTAGAGAAGTCATAAGGAAATAAAGCTCATTACCCAGAGATCACTATATTGTAGTCTCATTTCTTCCATATTTTTTCTTTAAGTATATGAATATAAATATTATTTTATAAAATTAAGATCATACTGTATATATACTTATAAAACTTTTTATTTTGAAATGATTTCAAATTTAAAGGGTCTAGAATAGTAGAAAGAATTCCTGTAGACCCTTTATCCAGAGTTCCCAAATGTTAATATTTTTACCTCGTTGGTCTTAATAAGTCTCCATTTATATATAATTTTTTTCTTTGAACCATTTGGGACTAAGTTACAAACATGGTGTCTCTTTATACCAATTGCTTGAGTGTTATTTCCTAAAAATGAGGACATTATCTTATGTAACCATAATATAGTTATCAAAGGAAATTAACATTATTAGAGCATTATTATCCAGTATTATTATAGACCTTGTTGAGATTGTACTGGTTGTCCTAGCAATGTCCGTTATTGGAAAAGGAAAAGTGTTTTCCTGGTCCTAGACATCACACTAGTAACTATAACCTGGAACAGTTCTTCAATCTGTCTGTTTCATGCCCTTATACTCTTCAAAAATGAATACAGGCCTTTTTTGGCTTGCTTTGTTTATGTTCCTCAATTTGAGTTTGTCTGATGGCTTTCATGATTAAATGTAGGTTGTACATTTTTGGCAGGTATGCTGCAGAGGAAATGTTAGGTCTATTTTAGAAAAGCATATCAGGATGAACATGGTTTTGATGAGTCCCATTACTGGTGATGGTGACTTTGAACACTTGGTCATGGTGGTGTCAGCCAGGTTTCTCCATTGCAGAGTTACTGGGTTTTTTTCCTTTTTTTTTTTTTTTTTTTAGAGTTTGTAGCAGAGAATAGTTTTATTAGAGCAGAAAGTTACAGCTCTCAAAACGAGAGGGAGTCCCGACTGGGGTGCCCCTGTTTTTTTCCTTTTTAATCGATAAATATCATGTGAGGAGACTACTTGGAGAGTCTCTAAAATTCTGATTCTCCCATAGCCTTAGCATTTGTCAGTTCTTGCCTGAATCAGTTAATAATAGGATTGTTCTCAAATGTTTTTTCTAATTCCATCTTTCCTTTTTCCATTTACTAGTTGGCATTCTACTCTAAGGAAGAGCTCTTTCTTCTCCACCCTTTATTATTTATATCAGTATATTTTCATGGATTCTTATTTTATTCAGGGATTATAATCTGTTATAATAATTTATTTTGGTGCTAAAATTGCCCCAGATTTGGCTGATGGGAGACATTCAGGCTGGCTCCTCGGTCCTTTTGACGCGCTCCCGTGATTCTTGGAGCACTTTCTTTCTTTCTGGCACCACTAGATATTCCAGGTTCATCTTGTACGTTCCCTGTCCCAGCCCTGGCATCAGCCCCTACTTCCTTTTAGTGAAGAATTGTATTTAGAAAGCACAGTGATAGTAAAGCAACTGAATATAGTTGCACTGACTTACACAGCAATCATAAATAGGTATATAGGAGACCTAAATAACATAATAATGTAGATCGTCTGCATATTTACCAAACATAATATGTAGAGAATATAATACATATCCTTCTCAAGCACTCCTGGAACAGTCATAAAAATTTATAAAAGATGCATCCTAAAGTTCCATAATAGAAATATATTACAAATGTTAATTTCTGATCATGATGCAGTAAACTAGAAATTATTCCAAAAGAGGGAGCGAGTAGAAACCTATTAAACATCTTTTT